AATTAAGTGCACCCGCCCTAGAACCGCTTGGGCTCTGATACCAAAGTGAAATAACCCTACCTTTTTTTTTTTAATTAACATTGAACTCGAATTAGTATTCCCATAAATACTGAAACCGTGAGCCAAAACTCCTTGATCAGTTCACAAGGACCTATGAAGGCTATGAAGAAGAAGACCATGAAGGTGAATCATGGTGTGAAGAGACTGATTTTCAAATCAGTTTAAGAGATGAAAGGAAACATGAAGCCATGGAACCAGACCCACCATACCAGACCAACATCAACAAAACCGAAGATTGGATCCACTTCGAAGAAAGGTGCTTTTTACAATAAGAAAATAGATGAGTACTCAAACTCTAATTTTGAAGATGAAGCAGACCATTACCAAGGGGTCACTAACCATCAGAGTTGGAACAAAAGAGAAGGAGAAACTCACCCTTTTCTAGCCGCACCAATGAGGAGAACACCACGGAGAAATGAAGCGTGGGAACAACAAGGGTATGAGTTCTATGAACGAGAAGACGCCAAGGCTTATTTCAAGTGGCAAGAACTGATGGAAGAATTATTTGTTTCATACAATTACACGGATCAAAGGAAGTTCACTACTGCGATTCAATATCTCAAAGGAAAAGCAAGATATTGGTTATGTCAACAAGATGCGAAGAACTTACAAGCAAACACCCATCACTTCTTGGGATGAGATGAAGTTGCATATGAGGAAGAGATTCGCACTAGGGTATTCTCACAAGCCGGTTAAGGATCCTTGCTACCAAAGCCACAACATCCCTCGAAAACCAATGTACCAAACAACATCAAAGAAAATGATGTTAACGCCAACACCCTTTCGTGAGCACAAGTATGCTTACCATTCTGAGCCTAAGAGGGTGTTCTCAAACACTTCGAAAAAGCATACGAAGGTTGGGCAAACAGTTCACATAAAGACGGTTCAACAAAATTCAATCGCATCAACGTTGTTTCAGCCCCAAGTAGAACAAGCAACGTCTAGGTTGAGGATAGATGGTTCTTGGCCATCAAAGGGAGTGGAAAGAGAGCATAAGAAGAGCTACATGAATTTCAAGAAGGCAAAGGAATGTCCCAAGCTGCAACTTATTGATCAAGATGAGACGATCCATACATGGTGTACTTGCAGTACGGATTCCGTACTGTGTTGTACGTATGGTACGACCATTGTACTATGTTGTACATGCTAGTACAATCCGTATAGGAGCTTTGCACAAACCTTATCTTTACCAAAAGTGGGTAGACACAAAGGACAACCTTATCATCAATAAAGCACAAGAGGACGAAAGGACAAAGGAGGATATGCTTGCATCACAACGGCTAGATGCTCTTTAGATGCCATTTTCTCTCTTTATATACTCTTGTAATCATATSTGATTTTGTATGAACCTAATGAGAATCAAAACTCTTCTCTTACTCTCGGTTCACAATCTCTCTTAGTCTTTTAATCTTTCATTCTCTCAATCTATATTTCTGCATATATTCTTACATGATACCAGAGCATGATCCTA